TCAGCCTGGCCTGCACCCTCTCACAATCCAGGACCCCACGGGGATGTCCGACTACTAGTTTAGGCCCGATCCCGCTCACAATCTGGAACCACTGGCTCCTTACTCCTCGCCTGCCTGCCTGGCTGATCACCCCTAACCACTCTGCCTGCCTGCCTGATCACCCCTAATCCCTCTGCCTGCCTGATCACCCCTAACGGCTCACCTGTCTGCCTGATCACCCCTAACCGCCTCTGCCTGCCTGCTTGATCACCCATAACTGCTCGCCTGCCTGCCTGATTGCCCCTAATTGCCTCTGCCTCGCCCCCGTGGCTTAGTCCAGAAGGTTGTTCGGCTGTCCGGTCTAATTAGCATATTACATTTTTATTATTATAGACCACACTTTTTTTTAATTCTCATCTTTTATTGAAGGAAATAAAACTTGTGCTGCAGAGGCAATGGTACCTCAACATGACAAGGTAGCCAAATGGGGCATACATGATAAGCCACAATGCTGGCCAGGGATCCTACCATAGTGGGAGGACCAAAACCACAAAGCAGGAAGTAGCAAACATCCCCAAAACTCAGTACAAGTATTTCCATTTGCAGAGAGCTTGGCCATGCAATGTAAAAATAGGGACCCCCGCAGCTGGCTTATCATCTCAAGCCACCAAATCCATCCAAAACTAACACGTAGTCTCAGTTTGGAGATCTTTCTCTTTGACCCAAAAATTCAGGACATCAGAAGTTACTAGTAATTTTTCTGAGGAAGAAATGCTTTGTGGCCAGGAGAAATGTTTTGTGGCTCTTGTTCTCAGGTAAGATCAGAAAACTGACTAGCATATCAGAATCTGAAAGTATTTCTGCTACTCTCTAATAAACTGAAGAGATAAGAAGAGATAATAAAAGTATTAATAACAATGAGGAACAACATAGTCTAAAAAAGTAATGTTTTGGGCCCTGGCCAGGTGGCTTAGTTGGTTAGAGCGTCCTCCTGTACACCAAGAAAGTTGAGGGTTCAACTCCCAGTCAGTGCACATACCTATGTTGCAGGTTTGATTCCCAGTCAGAATGCATACAAGAAGCAATTAATCGATGTTTTTCTCTCACATCAGTTCTTCACTCTCTCCCCGCCTCTCCCTTCCTTTCTCTCTCTAAAGATCAATAATCATATCCTTGAGTTAGGATTTAAAAAAAAAAAAAAAGTAATGATGTTTTCTTTAGAAAGCAGTAGCTTTTGAATAAAGACTAAAATGTTGACGTTGACAGTCCTTGAATCAAATGGCATGGATGTATCTATCATATGAGTTAGGTTAAAAATAAAATTATTCATCTATACTTCTTATCCAGGACAAAAACTGCACATCAAAAAAAAAAAAAAAGTAAGAGAAACATTTAGTATAACTTCTGTATTTCATGGATGTATGTAGTACATATTTGCAAATTTGGGGGGAAACTATGTTCCCTGCTGTAATGAAACTCCTGAACAAGTATGGTTAAAAGGCCAATTTAAAAAAAAAAGTTCTAAACATAGGTTCTTAGATTTTTAACTGCAATTAATTTTATTTCTAAAAGAAAAATAAAGATTTTCTGCATACGTAACTTATTTCATGTCAGCCATAATGAAAACCTGCTCCGTGAACTTTTTAAATGTATGGTACAGAACATCTGTTGTACTTTTGGCTAATGGATATGGGGGGAAATATTCTTCTAGCTCCTCGATTATTTTTTCATCAATGAGAAGGTACTTAACCATATTAATACATATATACACTACACACATATATATAATAACTTATTTTTCAACTTAGAACCATAACAAATTACAAAATCTCAACAATACAAATTAACTATAAATTGAGCAAAGAGGTAAAGAAAAACATGCCCATATTAATGAATTCTAAAAAATACAGAATGTTGGAAGAACTGTAGCTATATTACTTGAAAATTCATACTGAAAGTAAAACAAATTACTAACAAGTGTTGTTTCCTAACATAGTCTCTCTAGTGGGTATCTTGCTTTAATACAGCCATTATAACATAAACATATAAACATTTTCTTGACTTGGTTTTCCACTGTAGCCTCAGTCAAAAACTCCCTTCTCTTCTCTCTAGTTGATCTCATCTTTCCCTTAGTTCATACACCATGAATATACATGTCATCACATACTATTAAGAACCCCCAAAATGTTATCTACACCCCAGACTAACAAACTCATATCACAATCTCCATTTAGAATTATCACAGGCATCTTAAAAGGAGCACATTCAAAAAACAAAGCACCTAATATGTTCCACCACTCCCAAATCACAATCTTTGTAAATGTCACAATCATCCAAAAAGCCAGAAACCTGAGAATCCTTAGTTTTTACCCCATTTTCTTCACATTACACATCTAATCCATCAGTTAAATCCCATAAAATTTCCTGTAAAATATATTCTAAACTAGAAGCCCAATGCACAAAAATTTGTGCACTCAGAGGAGAGGGGACCCCTCGAGGGATGTCCACCTGCTGGCTTAGGCCCGCTCCCCGGGGAAACGGGCCTAAGCTGGCAGTCAGACATCCCTCTGGCAGCCCGGGAGCCCTCGGGGGATGTCCACTTGCCAGCGGAGAGCAGGCCTATGCTGCAGTTGAACATCCTTAGCACTGCTGAGGAGGCAGGAGAGGCTCCCACCACCACTGCTGTGCTGGCACAGCTGGCAGCCTGGCTTGTGGCTGAGCAGAGCTCCCCCTGTGGGAGCAAACTGACCACCAGGGGGCAGCTCCTGCATTGAGCGTCTGCCTCCTAGTGGTCAGTATGTGTCATAGTGACCTGTCATTCCCAGTCGTTCTGCTGTTAGGGTCAATTTGCATATTACCCTTTTATTATATAGGATAGAGGACTGGTGCACGGGTGGAGGCCGGCTGGTTTGCCCTGAAGGGTGTCCCAGATTAGGTAGGGGTCCTGCTGGGTGCCTGGCCAGCCTGGGTGAGGGGCTGAGTGCTGTTTGCAGGCTGGCCAAGCCCCCCAGCGGGGACCCTCACCCCATGGGGGTGTGGCCAGACTGGGTGAGGGGCTGAGGGCCATTTTCAGGCTGCCCACAGCCCCTTCAGGGTGGGGGAGTCCCGCTGGGGTGCCTGGCCAGCCTAGGTGAGGGGCCGAGGGCTGTTTGCAGGCTGGCCAAGCCCCCCAGCGGGGACCCTCACCCCATGGGGGTGTGGCCAGACTGGGTGAGGGGCTGAGGGCCATTTTCAGGCTGCCCACAGCCCCTTCAGGGTGGGGGAGTCCCGTTGGGGTGCCTGGCCAGC